TTCTACACGAGACCCTAAGATACAAAATAGTCTCATCTTTTTTGTTCAACCATGATATTCCCTTTGGAGGAATCTTTGAACTATTCTGTGAACCTGGTTGGGACCTTTACGAACCCACATTATGGACCATATGGTACGATAATGTTCAATACTCTATTCCTATTGCACTAAAGACCCAATCAGCCTACCAGATATTGACAAATCCTTATAAGGATGATTTCCATTACTAGACTCTACTTGAATGGTTCTCACCACTGTCATGGCGGAGACAACAACTCAACGAGATTCTTAATATTCAACGGCAGAAAGGATTCACTGAAGATACTATCAAAGGTCACACTTCCATCTTCATCATCCACTATCCATATTTCCTAAACTTTGCAGGTCAGTTATGGTTAAGAGATGAAGCATATTGTTGGGGCAGCTTCGAGACTTATCCTCTTGACGAAAGTTACAGAAACCAGCTGGCACGACATCTCTGTAAGATCAATCACTACCGCTACAAGCCAGTAGACCCCATTATCGCCAGCACATCACAAAGGCCTCTTGATTCATATCCTATGGACAAGATTATTCCAGAAGACGAAGGATCTCAATGAATAATATTTTTTAAATCAAAGGTTGAGATGAACGTCCCCCTAATGAAGCCTTCCAAAAGGTTGAAGACCTAGCTGATAATTTCAATAAAGAATTGATGGAAGAAATGATGATGCACAAGAAAATGTATCTCTACTAGGACCTACTACATAGAAGCATGACAAGGAGTGAGGCCCAACAGATGAATTATTCTGGCTCCACCAAATCTAACTAAAATAAAGGCTTTAATTAATGGTTGTCATTATAACATGCTACTAAAGCACGATTCTCTTATATTTACATGTGTCTATTGCGATCATCACAAACGTGTTAATGAAGATAAGTCTGGATCAAATTTACTTATACTCAAAGGGATAAGCCATCAACTTTGTTTCTACTCGAAGAGACAGGTCATCATATCCTATCTTTTCGAATCTTATCCTATCTTGCTCATATGTATGACTAAAATAAAGTGTGAATCATGTTATCTTGACTTTTGTAAGGTCATTATTAAGTGTAGGTCATAGTCTTATCATCTTTATTTCGGATTTCACCTTGTAAAATAAGTTTCGGGTCCGAATTTCATTCTAGTTTAACGTAGCTTTGGATTCCGCTTACTTGGTTTTACTATAAATAGGGGATGTTTGTAATGTTGTAACTCAGAACACGATAGAGTGAAATCAATACAAGTTCTCTTCCTAGAAATGTTCTCTTTCTAAGTTTTCTCTTCTCTGAAAGCTTGAAGCTTATAGTTATTAGTATCATTCCTCACTTAGATGCAAGTATGATCTACACTTTTCTCGAAAGAGGATCCTGTGTATCAGAAAGCTTCAGATCTATGAAACAGTTTTATCGCAGGGTGTTCTTCTTATAAGAAATATGAACTTGAGTGGACTTTTAGCCGAAGGGTAGCGTCGTTATGCCCGAAGAAGTTCATATCGTCCGGATAAGAAGGGATCTCTATCCGAAATAAAAAAAATGAAAAAATCTTGTTATTATAAGATATATGAGAAAAAAAATTAAAAAATAAAATAAATATTATTTTATAAAATTATCTTCAATAAAATAAATAATTATTTTTATATTTATATTTATAATTTTAATTTATATATATATAATAAAATATCATAAATATAAAACATAATGAATAATTTGATATATTTTTTATTTTTTTAATGTAATTATTTTACTAATTATAATTCCAATATTTTATAAAAAATATAATTTTGTTATAAAAAATAATTTGATTTTATTTTAAGTTTTTTTTTCACTTCCTAAATGGTTAATTCTAACTAATTTAAATATGAGTTGGATTTTTTTAAATTGGGTTGGAATTTTTTTTAATTAAAATAGTCATCATAATTTGATTAGAAGTATATATAATTAATTATTTATAATTAAATGATAATGAAAATTTATTATATTGTTAACATTTTTTTTCATAAACAATAATAAAAAAATTTGTTATCAAAATAAATATATATGGTTGATGGGGATATAGAGTTATTTATTTTATATTCTTTAGGTATTGTTAATTTTTTATTAGAGAAAAAAAGTTTATGTATCATTTTTTTCCTTGGAAAATAAAGTTTGTCTAATTTAGTTTGTTCGATCTTATCTAATTTATCAATATGATAAAATGGACTAATTTATTGTCTTTTTAAAAATATTTAAATACTAAATTAAAATAACAAAATTATAATTAAAAATATAATATTTTTTATTATATTATTAAAATATTAAAATATATTATAATTTAAATTATAATAAAATATTTTAATATATAAATATTATAAAAATTTTAATTTATCTAATAAAATTATTAATTAATAAATAAAAATAAAAAACTAGATATTATATATATATATATATATATATATATATATATATATATGAAACTAACACATCATCAATTCCATCCATTTTCCTGATTGGATAAATTATAATTTATAATCTATATTAATTATAAAATATAGATTTGTTTTGTCTCATTTTTGACCAACTTAAAAATAAACACAAACAAAATTAGTGTAAAACTGATATATTTTATCATCTCTAAACTAAATTTATAACCTTCAGAAATTTATGAGTTTATAATTTCATAAGAGTCTAAACCATCTTAGTATGGTATGGTTGATACTTTTCTTATATCGTCATTTTGGTAAATTACTACCTCATCAATTAATCATATGAACCCTTCATTTAACAAATTTCTCATTTTTTAGTTATTGTTTGGCTTTTAACAATATATTTTTAGATGATACTCAATTATATACTTTCTTACAAAAAGTACATTTTCGATAAAAATATTTTTTTGTGTTAATCTTATTTTAAAATGAAATGAATATTTGTATTAGAAATTTTTTAATTATTTTTATTTTAAAAAAATAAAATACAATTATAATTTGAAGTCTAAATTATTTCTTATTGAAACATACATATATTGAAAAAAATTGATTAATTTATTCTATTTATTATTTCATATAAAATCACCAATTGAAACCCAAACAAAATACTTTCTTTTGTAATTATGATTCATTGAGCATAGATGCAATTTTTTTTATTCTTTTAAATTTTTATTCTACCGTTCGGTGGTTTCAACATGGTAATGTGTCGGGATGCTTTCCGTTTAACACTTAACATTAAATTACTAGATTGTTAAATAGAAAGATATTATTAAAATGTTTATGATTTTATATTATGAAATCAATAAATAAATAAAAATTATATATATATAATAAATATTTTATTTTTTACCATTAGCGCCCTCCAACTGAAGGTTGTGTGGCACAAAACACTGTGGATGACTGTTGCTGATTGTATTTGTTGGACACGTGTACGGTCTGGGTCAAGAGACAAATTAAACCTAAAATGAAAAAGAAAATCTATCATTACCATAAACATGATGTGATTGTTGTTTCTTGCAAAATGTGTTGTTCACTCGTCACTAATTAGTAATGCAGAAACACAAGCTGTAATGCTCCATCAATCTCTCACAATACTCACTCTAATCCTTATCTGCTTGTAATATAATTTCATTTATTGTTTTTTACCCTAAAAACAATTTTCTTTCAACTATTTCTCTTAGTTTTTAGAATATAAATCAAATTGTTTCGTGTTCTTTTGTCAATATTATGTCAGATTGCATGACAATTGGAGTCTGAATTTCAATATGTCATTTAAAAAATTGAAGTGGATTAAATTGATAATTAAACCCCATATGTTTTTTATTTATTGAAGTAGTTTGATTAATTTATTTTATTAATAAATTTGAACTAAAATAAACTAATGGTGTATATATATATATAATTTTTATTTTGCCTCTAACTAAGGATTGAATCTATAAATAGTTTCATTGATATATCATCATAACCATATAGTCCTATTGATTATAGTTATGTGTGCCATTTTTTAATTAAGTGGTTGTTAAATTATGTATTGTCTTAGTTTCTTTATTAGTTGTCAAATTAAGCACAACTTTTAAAGTTAGGTGAAAAAAATTAAAGATAAAGAATATATTTTTTAGTATATTTTTTTGTTCTAAACTTTAATTTTATCTTAAGTAATCTTGAAAATTTTTCTTATTTGAATCCATCTTGAACTTTTATTTTTGTTTAATTAATTCTAAAACTTTAGAAAAGTGACACCTGTTTTCTTAATTTTATTTAATCCTTGAAAGTTATCATTTTTTTTAAATAATTTTTCTAACAAAATGGACTGAAACAAAAAGGATAAAAATATAATGAATGATTGAAATTGAATGTAAAAAATTTAACTCGAATATGTTATAAAAAATATTTACACAAATTTAAAATTTTGCGATTCATTTTGTCATTATCTCTTCATCCACTATCTCCATTAATAAAATATAAATTTTGTAAAAAAAATCTCGTGTACATCCAAATTTATATTACAATTTATTAGATTTTTTATTATAAATAAAATCAAATAAAAAAATCATCAAATTTGATCTTATCCTGAAAACTCATTGAGAATGCTCAGCAAAGATTTAAAGAGAAAAATATTATTCTCTCGTATGTTCGTTATAAGATATTTATAATCTTTGTTAAAAAACAAATTCTAAGTCAACAAAATTCTTATTTCATATTTTTTGTGGTCGACAAATTTAATATACCAACCACTACTGATAGTATTTCAAACTAAGAGTAGATTACAAAATAAATTTGAAAAAAAATTAACAAATAACAAAAATGACCGAAAGGAAAAATAAAAATAAAAAACAAATGATTAAGTGAGATAAATTTGAAGTAAACTATTTAATTTTTATTTTTATTTCAATTATGTTAATGTTTGGTTTGGTTACTTGATTGGCACGTGATTGGTGCATAGAAAAATGCAGAACAAACACACAAAAATTTGATGGTGGGCCACATGGGCCCACATTGAGGAATTGAGAACCGCGAATGGTGGCTGGGCTCTGTGGCCAAAATCTGGAGTAGACTTCTATGACCCATATTGAATAATCTACTTGTAACTTGTACCTTAATGGGCCCCACTCAATCAACCAATAAACACGAATTTTTGGATTGAAAAAGAAGCAATTTTTAGGTCAAAGTTGAGACAAACATTTATAATCCTCAACTATTATAAGAAGTAGAATTTAAATAATGAATTTGAATTAATATCACTAGCGAATATAGTAGTGCATAATATCTGTATTTTTATTATATTTTTTATTTTAATTTATTAAAATTTCATATATATATATATATATATATATTAATTTTGAAATATAATTTTTTTTAAAGAATAAAATAAAGTAAGACAAAATTAAAAAAAAGGAAAAGTAAAAGAAATGTGTAACTAGGAGAATAAAAAAGAAACGATATTTTTTATTATTTTATATTTTTGAACAAATAAATTGATTTGATTAAAAAAATAAAAAATATATATAAAATATAAATTATTATTTTTCTTAAAAAACGAAGAATCTCTTAATATATATATATATATATATATATATATATATATATATATATAAAAGATAAGTATAAAATAAAATATATTAAAAAAATATAATTTTATATATGTTTATAATTTCAGACATTGTTAATATTAGTGATGAAAAAGATGTGTATGGGACAAATGTATAGCTGCAATTATGGAATTATTGACATATAAAAAAAAAAACTTAAACTTCCATTTAATCAAGTGATAAAGTTTCAACCGTCATTACAGTCATAATGTTTTATTTTTATTCTCTGATGATTTATATGGTATCAATTTCTAAGGATTCATGTTATCATATTTCATTCAAACTAAAATATATTTTAATCTTTAGTCAAAATAATTTTAGCATAGGTAAATCACTTTAATCATATCATAAAATGAATTATAAATCTAACTTAATTTTATAAAATCAATATTAAAAAAGTATTGCTCTCATTTTACTGTTATTTATAGGTGATATCAGACTTAGATTTTTCTCATAAAAAAAAAATAAGAGAGAAAAAAGGGATTGAGGGTATGAAATGGGAAGAAGTAATTAAATCTTTGTGGCCATTTTGCATGAGTTAAGCAGTTATATTATTGGATGGGGAAATGCCAGTTGGCAATGGCGAGCATGAAAACAATGTTATATCAAACTCAATCAAGTTGAACAATAATCATGTTTATGCAGATAAGTGAAGTCATGCTCGTAATCAACAAAGAAATGTTGCAACATGTCCTCAAATGATAGCCGTGAAAATTAACATTAATTTTACATATTTCTTTTTCTATACTTATCGAAACTTTCCTTTGATTTCACGAACTGGTAGTGCCTGAAGTTGACAGTTGTTTGTTTCCTAATGACTTTTTCCTATATAAGAGGAGCATAGAAACTTGAACAATGGGAAATCAGAGACATGATCTATAGATTATAGAACCAAACCAACATTATTTAATTATACTTCACATGCTCCGTTATGGTTTTTGAGAACTGATAAATACCAAAGCCGTAAGATTTTTTCCATCTTTCTCGTGAAAACTCTGGCTCACAAGCCTATAAAGCCAACCACAACCTTTCACACCACTTGATCGCATTCACTGTCTAGTGATCCTCCTTCATTGCCTTTTCCAGTAATATAAATCTCCCTCTTATCAGTTACCTGAATTCCCATTTGCATCATACTCACAAGTTAGTTCGATTCTTGTTCTTCGTAGTTCATATTCTAATTGTTTGCCTAAAATTACTGTCCAAGTAACTTGGGGGGTGTTGAGTTTTTATTTCTTCACCCTCCGGGGTTTTACTTTTCATATTCCTACTTCATTTTAGGGCTGTAAAGTAAGATTTTTCTTTTCTTTCCGTTCATTGCTATTATTTTAGTGTTACTTTAAGTTTCTGACAGAATTAACTGTGACTCCTACTTTGTGTTGTACTATTACAATGTAATGTATACTTCACTTGGTTTGCTCACAGTTGGAACTTCAAAGTACAAGGTTTTGGGATTTGGTTAGCTTTTTGCAAGGAATTGAACTGTTGCACCTCATTACCATCTGGGGTATCTGAAGTTCAGGTTTTTCTTAGTACTGTGGCAATCAAAATGGTGTCTGCTTGTGTGACCTTGAAAGTCAATACCCAATTTGTAAACTCGAGAAAAGACAATACTTTTCGTCAAGATGGTGGTTTTTTAGGTGAGAGAATCAAAGGGAGTCTTAATTACAGTCCCTGGATCACTAACCGATTGGCCTCAAGTTTGAGAACCCAGGAGAGGGTGAAGAAGACCAAACCCGGTGTTGTTTCTGCTGTTCTTACGTCAAGTACTACCAAAGAATCAGTGGTAAGTTCAATTCTGTTGTCGGATCCATTTTCTACTTTTTTAACCTTCCAGTTTTTATGATCTTGATCAATGGGTTTGGAAACACATTAAGAAGTAAAAAATCACGTCTGGAACGTAGAAACTATGTTTATTAGCTTCTCAGAAAACGTAGAAAAACCATATCTGCTTATATGAGATGTGAAACTAAACACGCAATATTCTCATTTTGAATTTCAATTTCAGGCCTTTCAAATGCCTTCGTTTCTCAGAAGAAAAGCTGACCCAAAAAATGTTGTTTCCATCATATTGGGAGGGGGTCCCGGCATTCAACTGTTTCCTCTTACCAAACGAGCTGCCACACCTGCTGTGAGTAAATCATCACTTTTTGGAGAATAAAAAGAAAGACTCAAATTTCTTGGATTTCCACTTCCATTTTGAGATGGTAACGTATGTTTCTGCAGGTTCCTGTTGGTGGATGTTACAGGCTTATAGACATCCCAATGAGCAACTGCATCAACAGTGGCCTCAACAAAATATTTGTATTGACCCAATTCAACTCTGCATCCCTCAACCGTCACATCTCCCGCACCTATTTTGGAAACGGAATCAACTTTGGGGATGGATGCGTGGAGGTACGTAACCAGAATTGGATGGTGATTGTCAAAGGTCATAAATAACTCATACATCATTCCCTGGTTGTTGTTTTTTGTGTTAAGATATGTTTGTAGGACTTATAGTTGTCGCTAACTATAGAGAAAGGAAAATAAGGCTAGATCTACAGTTCAGATAAAATGGTAAAATATTCATAAAATTGTATTAGATTTTTATTGGGAAATACAGTTTTATGTGTGCTGTGACTGATAGAGAAGTGTAAGCCACATGAATGATTCATATTTTGGAGGTGAGGGGTCGTAAGGACCATGATTTTTGACCTGTCACTGTTTTTGTTCATTATATAATTTGATATGATAAAACAACTCAAATACTTAATAGGTTCTGGCGGCTACTCAAACACCAGGAGAAGCTGGAAAGAAATGGTTCCAAGGAACCGCAGATGCTGTGAGGCAATTTACATGGGTATTTGAGGTAACAACATAATCTTTCTTATATACATGATTTCTGTATATACTCATACCCTCCTATTTTTTTCTCTCGAGTTGAATAGTATAGTGACAGTTTGAATGTTGTAGGATGCCAAAAACACAAACATTGAGAACGTGTTAATCTTGGCCGGAGATCATCTATACCGAATGGATTACATGGACCTTGTGCAGGTATACAGATTAATTGTTCTTTTTACAATTCAATTCAAGGGTGAGTTGAAGTTCCATGTTAAGTAGAAATGGGAAAAAGAATAATATATAAGTGAGAGAGGTCATAAATATAATGCCTTAAAGGTTTTAGGTTGAAAATGTCTCTTATGATTATATGATTATATATGTAGTTTTTATTAAGAACCATGTAATTTGCAAGGCAATTATTTTAGTCCCAAATTCTAGAATCTCATTGCTAAGTATGTTCAGTGAATATTTTGTATTATTCACTGAATGAAAGCAATTAACTCTGTTGAGGAAAAATTTGTTCTCTCCTTTTCTCCTACCGTTCTTATGTTCTTGCATTAATCTTTCAATAATTTTGTCTAGACACACAAACTTCGTGCTTTGGAGTTTCTTCATTTTATTTCACAGATTTTATTCACTGATTATCTATCTTGTGGTAAATATGAAGAGTCACGTTGAAAGAAATGCAGATATTACAGTATCATGTGCTGCTGTAGGTGACAGGTGTGTTTAGTCACCTTTTACATGTGGTTCTCTTTGTTGTATTTTTTTTTTTAATATAATTGTGCTACTGGGAGAATATATTCTCTTCCACTGGGAAGGAAAGAGTCACTACACAAAGAGAGCAACGGCACACTAACTTCCTCAACACAAAACATTCAATCAAATTTAATATTATTTAAGTTTCATTTCCAATCGTCTTTTTTTTCAGCCGTGCATCAGATTATGGATTGGTCAAGGTAGATGGCAGAGGTCGCATCATCCACTTTTCAGAAAAACCCAAGGGTCCTGATCTGAAAGCAATGGTAAGTCCCAAGACCAATGATTGTTCAATTAAAATAGGTTCTTGGTCACAATCAGACAGAACAAAAAAAATCCACAATTTCTGTGAGCAACTGATAATCCTAGATTCCTAGCAATTCAGAAATTCCTGTAAAGTTAATATATATATATATATATATATATATATGTGTGTGTGTGTGTGTGTGTGTTTGTATGCATATTATATATCTAGAATGGCTTGTCATACATCATAGGATAACATCACACGGTGATGTACTAAACATACTAAAAATGAGCATACATTTTCAAAACATACAAATTATAGGTTTGATTTGTTGTGTCTCATTCTTACTTTCCCTTAAAGTATGAAATATTCCCTCAAACTTGCAGGTCTTGTATGTTATGGTATAATAATGTGATCCGTAAGATATTTATATCTTTTCTCATTTTTACCAAGTGTTCCTGTTGCATCTCTGCAGGAAGTAGATACTTCTGTTTTCGGGTTGTTAACCCATGAGGAAAAAAAAACACCATATATTGCATCGATGGGGGTTTATGTATTCAAGACGGATGTTTTACTTAAAATTTTGAAATGGAGATATCCTACGTCCAATGACTTCGGATCTGAAATTATTCCTGCAGCTGTGAGGGAACACAATGTCCAAGTAAGAAATTGCACTGAACATGTCTACTTTCAAATGTTTGGATCTATTCTGGAAGGATGAATATCTTGCATTTACTAGGAACTAATCACTGCTTAATTATTTCACTCTTTCAGGCGTATTTTTACGATGACTATTGGGAAGACATTGGAACAATTAAATCATTTTACGATGCTAACTTGGCTCTTACTGAAGAGGTGAGTTCAAGATATTTACTGTTGCCAACTTTCTAATTTGAAGGTATTCCTATTTTGTAGATATGGGCACTATAGAACCGTGCATTAGTTACAATGCAAGCCACATTATTAAAAATGCATATATTTAGTTTCCCTTATTTTGCTTTCAGTGTGATATAGATCGGGGGTCAAATATTAAGCACTAGGCCACCATGAAAATATTATAACTAACGCATCTTGGGAGTTAAGGAATTAGCGAATAACAGTCTACATATCAAATTGTAGCATACTAATTCAGAGCAACACAGTATAATAATCAGTAATGGTTCAAGATCCATAAACCTAATTACAATGAAATTCAGACCTCAAGTTGCTGCTAGAACGTAGCAAATTGTCAGTGTCCTGAAACTAATATCTGTTTTGTGCTCCTATCTTGCAGAATCCAATGTTCAAATTTTATGATCCCAAAACACCCATTTACACATCCCCAAGATTCCTACCACCAACAAAGATTGACAAATGCCGGGTATGACTGTGATCATATATGTTAAAAGTTTGCTGTTAGTTTCACGAGATGTGTCACTTATAATATTTAATTTGAACCGTAGATTGTTGATGCAATAATTTCCCATGGATGTTTCCTAAGAGAATGTACCGTTCAACGTTCCATTGTGGGCGAACGTTCACGTTTGGATTATGGTGTTGAGCTCCAGGTAAACTACCACAATTTCTATAACAAGGATCCTAATTGCTATGCCCTTCTACTTTAACATTCTTACCATCTAAATTTCTAAAACGACCTTTTACAGGACACTGTAATGATGGGAGCTGACTATTACCAAACTGAATCCGAAATTGCTTCTCTGCTGGCAGAGGGGAAGGTTCCCATTGGGATCGGAAGGAATACCAAAATTAGGTAATCTCAACCTAAGATGAACAATGCACTACCAAGTTCAAATGTTGGTTTTAGAAGTTAACACTAACTATAATGTGACATTATCATGATAAACACTTGGCTTACCATGTACCCATTAGTCATCTGATCTTTGTTACTTGTTGTCCTCGTTGAAGGAACTGCATAATTGACAAGAATGCAAAGATAGGGAAAGATGTCATCATCATGAACAAAGATGTGAGTATGATTGCCTTATTTTGTTTTAACATTTAAGCCAATATTTTCGTTAATAGCTTTCTACTCTAGGATAACTGTTAAACGAGTCATTGGTATCATGTTATTATGTTACCTATTACCATGCAAACTATTTGTCTGTAGGGAGTTCAAGAAGCAGATAGACCAGAAGATGGATTTTACATTCGATCAGGAATAACAGTCATATTGGAGAAGGCAACAATAGAAGATGGCACTGTCATATAAATAGATGGAAGTACTTATTTTCATGGATTGGCAGCAAGAAGTAGCTCGAAGAAGCATTCCAAAGAACTTTCAACGTCTTTGGGAACAGAAGGGTCCAATAGAGAAATCAGAACCCCCTTTTGCTTTATATGCAAAATAGAAAGAAGACTCTCCCGTCGCATGTAAAAATAGAATGAACAAACAATGGGTGAAATAAGATCAAGTTGCATAAACGTAAATAAAATTACCAAGTTGCATAGTATCACTGAAGTATTACTACTATTACTCGGGATAATAGTGAAGAACTAAGGGTACAAGAGAATTTGAGGGCTTCATACATTATTCAATTATTTTCCTTTTCACGTGGAGCAAAAGATTTTAAACAATAGCTCGTGATTAATCTATATTTAAAGAAGTACTTGCGTTAGCAGTGTGCAATAAGAATTAAGAAACTAGCACAAGCACTCTTGCGTGTAAGTCTAAAGAGGTTGACTTTTGAATCCTTAGAAAAATGCCACGTATTAATTGACTGTCTAGGGATTGACACGTACAATAACACCTTCACTTCAAGCCACGACGACAATTATCAGAAGTGGGTGTAGATTATTCTTTCTTCAAATCATTCATCACTCACTCATTAATTCAATAGCCAGCATAAAGAAGTTCACATGGGATGCTTCATTATCCTTAGCATTTTTGTCCTTTAGAAAAATGGACACTCGCATGAAGACGCTTTATGATTCTTGAATTATTCATTCATTGGCTGGCCTGCGTTGTCGGGCTCTATCTTAGGTTATCTTGTTTGTAGGGACATTGTAGGGATGCAATTCGTAATCGTACGATAAAGACAGATGCAAATGGCTTTTATTTTCGACAGCGTATGAATGGCTTTTTCTATCCTGGACCAAATTCCTCTCAGATTCTGTAAACAAATGTTCCCTTCTTTTCTTTCCGTTGCATTTATGTCTTTATATCCTTTGGGATAAGGATACTTTGTGCTTGGAACCTTTGCTTCCTCCTCCCTAAACCATAGTAAATTAAACAATGCCAAAACTCACTCTGCTCCAAACGGCTGGTCCAAACCAGGCAAAACAAACTTTCTTGTAAACCCTGCTCTTTTGCCCACCAGTTAAAAAGCACTTAAAAGGGTTTTAAAGAAGACTTTAACTACGATATACTGATAGTGTAAAAAAAATTTGTCTTATAAAAGACCTTCATACGTACGTTATAGTTTAATTCTGCAAAATATTAAAACCTTTAATTATGAGTGTATATATTTTCTGCAGAACTTATTTATGTATCACTGGTTTTAATTCTGAAAAAGTTTACTTGTACGATGGTTAACCGTTTCATATAAATATTTATTGAAATTTTGATGTACTTCTAAAAAAGATTATGAACAATAAATTTGTCATTCTTTATTTATTTATTTTTCTTTCTATATGATTCATTACAAATCCTATACCAATATAGACAGTATTTATAGGTAGTAAACTAAAGACGGAAATCACAACAAAATCATTGCGAGAGAATTGTAAAACAAGGGTATACTATTTATTTATCGTCTTAAAACAAAGCAGACTGCAACTGAGAATTTCAATATCAGGAGTAAGGAATACTTGTTTCTATTGTTAGTCCTGTAGAGTTCCACCTCTTCCGGCCGAGTCTTAAACAATCACTACTAATGACTAAACAGTATTTTCACTATTTCTTTGTGAATATTTGAAAACAAGTTAAGGGTATTTCGTCTTCAACCTTCCTTGCTTAATTCTTCTCTCAAGAATTCGACATGCTTTTGGACCTCGGAATCATACATGTTTTAAGTGTTGAGTCAAAAGCGTTTAATCATAAATAACTTCTAACTCAAAAAGTAGCACGGCATCATATTGAGAAAGCTATTGTTCAGGAATGAAAAATTCAACCCAAAAGATGCGCAATCGTATATGAAACTCCTTTAACATGATATTCCATCAAACCTTGATAAAGCTGCTAATATATGCTTAACTTGGCAGTATGACTTGAGTGGTAAGACAGGATCCCCTCTTGAGACATTTCTCGCATCCCTGAGTTATTGCATAAGTATATACGTACACAAAAATGCACGCTCCAATACATAACTACTTCGGATGCATGCAGCACTTGTATTTTGTTTTGATATAGCCAAATCTGAGTAGAATAAGGAATTAAGATAAGCTACGATTCAACATGATTGCGCCAACACATGGCCCCGAGTATTTCTCCCTTCTCCAAGACTTCGGGTACAGACGTCAGCAGCCATAACGCCATATGTATTATTCTCAGACTAATCCTGAGCATCTCCCACCATGAACTTCATAAGAAATTTTTATGTCACCAACGGCCAGCGATTTCAAAAACCCTTCATATTCCAAACTATCACTGGCCCCTTTTTCAGGAGCTCGGAGGGATTCAAACTATTCATTGCCTTTCCCATCAGAGCCATGGCAGCAATGCTTGGAAACTGTTTCTTTTGAAACTCTTCTAGCACAGCATTTGAAGACTTCTGTTCACGAAGCTCCTCTAATTCATGCCTCTTCTGGGAAGATGCAGATGCAGCACGATTATGACTCCATCTCTGAATCCAGGGATGTGAAAGGGTAATTTCTACAGTTTTCTTTGCTTCAGTTAAAGAGGACTTGCCATTTGTTGATACTGTTCCAGGTAGATGCGGTACCATCTGTACTTCAGCATGATGTATCATTTTCTGTTCCGAACTCATTTTGCTATCTTTCATAATTTTTCCCAATATATTGTTAACTTTTTCATGCGAATAAACTTCTCCAATTCTTGTACTCTCGGTCCCGTGAGCAGAGCCAAATGTGCACAACTTGAGTCGTTTGACCCATCTGCTGCTAGGATCTGATCCCAAAGAACTATTGCCAGAATTTGACTTTGCATGCTCATCTGCATGAGAAAGAAACTGATCCAATTCAAGGCTGTGGGTTCTTGATGTGCTAGCATCCCTATCAACCACAGGACTGCCATCAGTAAGAAGCTCATGAGGCTCTTGGTTTATATCTGGTATTGTTGTATTCAACGACTTTGCTATGGTTTTGTCTCCGGCAGAAATTGTTGCAACTTTAGACGTGAGCGAGTTTTGACTATCCTTGGACCACTGCAAAATAAAAAATTTGACAACTACCATCTAATTAGCCTCTACAAGTTTAATACAGTATCAAATTTTACAAGGACGAGGTTATTAAATTTAAAACCAACAGAAAATACGAATAAAGACAGTATTGTACGGATACACGCGTGTATTCAAAGTCTAGGTAAGGGAACTGTGCCACTCCAAGTACGCGTTCTGTTACTCTATATGACACCGTTCAGCATTCATCATAACCAATGTGAATGTATAAATAAATAACATTCTTATTTTTCCCAAAAGCTAGACTTGAAAATATGATAAGGATTTGTTTGTGTAAATTTTACATAAGTACTTCTAAGAAAAAAAAAACAAAACAAAACAAACTTCTCTATGGTTAAATTTAATTTATGTATAAATTAAAAAATTTTTTTTAGAGAAACTAATATAAAAATTTATATAGATTAACAAATTATAAATTAATTTTAACTTACGAAATAGTTATTTTATTTTCTATAAGAAATGTATGAGTAAATTTATCTAAACACATCCTAAGTCAATCAATTAAAAATGTTGGAAACCACGTCGCATTTAAATTATCCAAATGCTTGAGAAAGAAAGTTATGATTGAATTTTTGATGCCATTGTATCAAGAAGATCAAGATGAATTATAATTTAGAAAAATTACCTTATTTGTTCGCAATGGAACATCACCTGCAAAAGACAAAAGGAAGAAGCATCAGCTGCTTAGCTAGAAAAAAACGTTAAAGCCTCTAAATTGCACGACACATCATCCTCCAAAAACTAAAAACTAAGCGTAGAGTTAACTGAAAAGAAAAATTAAAATTAAAATTATGTATTCAATTAATCAAAATAAGAATATTTGAAAATGAAATAAAGCCTGCTGAAGTATAGCATATGGTATATCCTTCAAGAGTGTGCACACATACCAGGAAGTTCATTATTATGTAAAGCATCGATGTCCATATTACCTGTTTCAGCAGATGACTCATTCTTCAGGCATGTTGGATATTTGAAATCTTGGATATTTTTCTTTCCTTCACTCTTTATGGAGCTTCCTATAGCTTCCAGCTTCAGAGCTTCCATGGTATGATCACTAGTGGGTGGAGAGAAATCAAGGATCTCATTGATAGCGTTTTCTTTGAATTTGATAGGTGCTACTGGCTTTCTAAAGAAATGATCTCTGTCAGAGAAGGTAACATCAGTGTTTTTCGACATTAGAATATGGTGAGTTGTCTGGGAAATTTTGGGACGACCTCTAGACGATTCTTCAACTGAATCTAAACTGCTGTATATCTTCATAGAGCCGACATCATGAATAGAACAGGGCATTTTCTCTACCACAGAGCTTAGTCCACACAGCTTGTGTGGTTTAGCTGACTCAGAGGATTCAGTCTGGCACGTAAAAGTTGGATTAGAAACATATTTTTCAATCTCATGGTGCTTACCACGAATGAAATATAATCTATCATCATTACCAGCCAAGGAATCATGCGGCAAACGAGTAACACCACCTTGCATCCATCTTAAAAAAGAAGATCTTTGAGGATCTAAGAGGCTACTCATTTTCTTCTCGCTAATTAAAAGAGACGAAAAGGTGTGATATTTGGTACTGGTGAATCGCCCTCTGGATGCTAAATTGTAGCTTGATTGACAGATTTCAAATGGTTCATGCGTGAATTGGGGCATCACAGTTTTCCCTTTGCCACCATTTGGCACAACGTCAGAAGAAGATTTTACAAAATCATTCCACAGTGATGTTGAAACAGCAAGGTTTTTCTGTTCAACATCCCACGGAGATTTCATCAGCAGGGCTGTTGTCGGTAAAACTTCTTGAGACAATACTTGACACTCTTTTACTATGGTTTCTATGTTAAGAGGAACACGTGCAGGTGTTGATGATAATCCTGCTCCGGAAGTCCCAGCTCTGTTGACAGAAACATTGTCATCTCCAGACCAGGGTTCAGTTTCAGATTTCCCATCTTCCCCGTGTTGTTCCCTCTGCAGAGGCAATTTTCCATCCAACTTTCCAGAAAAAATCATTGTAGGAAATGATTTGGAACCACAGCATGCCTTCTTCCCTTTTTCGCTGTCTGCCTCACTGTTGAAGGTAACACTTGTAGCCCTAGCTGTTTCTCCAACTGCTCCAGCGTGCACAGCACTATCCAACCCACCAAGCAAATCATGCTGTTCGGCACCACTGTCGATTTTTCCTTCTTTCAGCTCACAATCTATCCCCAAACGATTGCAAGCAGGGGATGCTGATTTATAACTTGTGTTCATCCAATGAGCCATCCACGCCGACCGGTTCCTATTCATTGCTTGAGCTTCACTCCTCTCATCATCATGACATGCTTCTGCAGCAGTATCATAAGGCATCATGATTGATAGATTTCTTTACACAAAACACCACCAATTTCACCTAGTCACAACTGTTCAAAACCTATATTTCAAAAACCATAAATTAGCTACAGCTAAAAATCCATCGCATGCAGCTAAAGAAAAACGAACAAAACTAAATCGTAAGATTCATCAGAACTCAACACCACGACAAGAAGAAAGCAAAATCCAACTCAAGCCATCCTGACACAGAAACCACTACTGTATAATCTAATACATGTTAGTAACAGCATCGTTCAGTGTCAATTAAAAATCGAAACAAATCCAGTTTAATTAAATTCAACAAAACTAAACCTGAACAGGCAGAAAATCGAATTTCCACGGAATTTCGTAAATTATTCACACAACAAATTAAACGAAGAAGTTAATTGATAAACCGCCGAGATTGGAAGGTACCTTCAAACAATCCAGGGAAGATGAAGAAAACCACTGAGTAGAGAAGCAGATAAATGAAACTCATGGACGAAATAAATAACGGACAAACAAGAGAAGACTGTGTAAGGAAAAGAGTACGATGCATTAAATCAAGGGTCAGATGTCGATCGGGTATGGGTCCCATGTGTATGGGATAAATCTGACCGTTGATATTTTGATGCAGTGTTGTTAGGAAGGATTAGATTGGCGTTGATTTGTTTGGCTTTTTGATCCACACGAATCGGACACACGAGAGACTGGGACCTACCCATATGCACTTTTCCTTTCTTCAAATTACGAATAAAAAGTAAATATTTTATTATAGATTTTATATTTAAATTGTTTAAAAATAAAAAAAATTATTTTAAATTAAAAAAATGTATTTAAAAATAAAATAAAAAATTTATATAAATAAATACGTTGATAATAAAAATTTCTGTTTTGAAGATGTTCTAAGGGTCTCAAATTTTTTGTGCCTTTTTTCATTTCTCGTATGTTTCGATTACGCGTAATTATTGTGACCACTTTTTAAACTATGCGCCAATTAATAAAATACTAATCTTCTTCCACCTTTTGTTTGTGCTGTAAGGATCTGAATCTACCTTTTGTGAAAAACAAAAGAAAGAAAAAATAAAATATACCTTGCTTTCTGATTCTAAGAAAATGTCTACTTAGAAAACAAGTTCGTCTTTTTGGTCTCTATCTACACAACAAGTTGAAGTAGCAGGAATGTTTCAACTTTGCGTATCATTTACTCCAACAATGTTCAAAAAATTGTAGTTATAATTTTAAAAAACCAAAAACCAGTTCAGTAATGCCAATATTATAGTAACTCTGAGAAGCAAATATAGGCTAATGCATGAGTGTCGTTCAACTTTGGTCATGTCTTTGTTGTACAGTTTAAGTTGTTTTTAATTGGTGCAGTTTTTGAATTATAATTATTCGAATGATTTGCAACTTGAGTAAACTACAACAATACCGATAGTGATGTGGTGGTAGGGTGACGAGAGTAATGTCTGATATATCTATTTTGACGTGATATTATTTTGACGTAATAATTTTTAAAAAAATTCAGAACTTATTTCATTCAGGTTGGTTTTTTTATTTTTTTTAAATAATTTTAGAAATCAAAATATTTTTTTTAAAAAAGATAAAGAAAAGTTATGATAAAAATTGAAAAATAACTTTTAATAAAAAGATTGAATAATTAAATTTACTTGTATATTATAATATTATTATATATCATTATAGTTAATATGAATTAAATATCTAATTTAATTTTACCTACTCTATTCAATATAATAAAAATCTTACTTAGAGATTTTTATTACACTCCTTGTATATCGCCTTATCTTAATCATTATATTTTTTCATCAATTTTGCATTTTTAGTTTAGGGTTTATAAGGTGTATATGCAACATGTTTGACTTAAAATCAAACATATGGAGATAACGTGATTTAAACACAATAAGCAGCATATGCAGCGTGTTTGACATAAATTCAAACACATGGAGACAAATCTATGATTTAATGAAAAATGCTTGTGGTTACACCACATTCTTCCAACGTATAATAATTTGCCATGATTTGCAAAATAAATATTATAAGAAAAATATATAAATTTAATGTCTTATTAGTTTTGGATCTTATCTTTATCTTTGATAATTATATCAACTACCATCTTTATATGCCTTGTATCAATAATATTTGTTATAATTTAATTCATTGAAGTAAGAAGTTATTTTTAAGAACATTTTTAAAAATATGATAAAATAATATATTGATTGGCCAAAAAGTGTTCCTCTCCAAGGGATTATTGTCCTCACATATTAATTGATTTTGTTTGAATAATGTTATGAGCATCTTGGATTTTAATAATTTCTTACTCTTTTGTATTTAGACCACTTCCTAACGATAATTTTCATTTGTATAAAAAAAATTGAAATTGTATGTGAAAAAGAGAATGAGAAAAAATAAGATCAATTAGTCAATTTCTTATTAAAAAAAACGTGCGTATTTTTTCCAAAAAAATAATATAGAAATTTATATAAAATATTAATCTAACACTTCAATTTAATTTTTTATTAATATCCAAGTCCATATATTATCCAAATAATTATTAATTAATCAATGGATAATATACGGAGATCTTAAATCACATTTGACGTAGAAGAAACAATAAGTCAATATCACATTAAACACTCTCGCTAATAATAACTTTTAGTAAGGAATCCACCTATTTTGTGTAAGTAATATTACAAAGACGTTATTAATTATTATTATTATTTTCTCATAATATAAAAACTAAATTTCTACCTATTTTATACCTTTTTTTATGTTTGTTGAAATAACGTAACACTAGTAAACTACATATTACTGGTTCCAGTGTGATGTATCATTAATTTAAACACCAAACCAAAACTGTTAGATTGCAAAAAAAAAAATCTCCCTCTAAGCGGACCACTAACCCTTATATGCTCCACGGATGTTGAGATTTGCACGTTGCTATTCCGGTTGTGAGAAGTTGATGAATATTGGTGGGGTTCCGTGGGAAGTTGTAAAAAAAATCTTGAGAAAATTGAGTCCCGTGGATGTTGATCTTTTTGTTAAGATCAGTTATTGGACTCGTACCACATCTATAAATAAATCATCTCACACTTTCTTAAAATATAATTATTCATTTTTTTTATTTCTCTTCTCATCTTTTTTTTGTCTCATTTTTTTTATCTTAGATTTATTTACTCTTTTAAGAGTTTGTTGTTAGTTTTTGAATTCTTAAAAAAATTAGAGAAGTTCATGTTTTATCCAAAAAACTTACGCAATACATCGCAAACAAGTACTTAAAAGTAGTAATTATACATGTCTTAGGAATTAAGTGTTATTTGTATTGTTGTCAGCATTTACAATAATCTTAAGGATTTATTACTGACAAGTATCAATACTAATAACAACTATACACTAGAAAAGACAAATAATGTTTCGGAACTCAAATTGTCTTTGGGAAACCTTCCCAAACAATTCAAAAATCAAAGATTCTTTGGGCAAAACTTTTGATGCTAGCAGGAACGTATTTCTACTTACAATATATTTTTTATGAAATAGGATACTATATAAGAAAATTGGTAAAACTCCCTATGAGTTATAAAGAGGTTATCAACCTAATCTTAAATACCTAAGAGTATGAGGTGCCTAGCTAAGATAATGTTAATTGATCCTAAGAAAAGAAAAATAGTCTTTAAAACTTCTCATTGTATGTTTTTAGGTTATACGAAACATAGTGTTGCCTATAATTTTCTTGTCCTTAAAATACTCTAGTAGAGATAGAAAATGTTGAGTTCTTTGAACAAATTTTCCTTTTAAAGATTAATAAGACACCTAAATAACCTATAAATATTAATAGTGATGACATGTACAAGGATTTGAAAAGAAATAAAAGACAAAAAAATGAAACCTCCTTTATAGATGATTTTTACACTTATCTAGTCGAAGATGATCCAACAAGTTTTTTAGAGACTACTACTGCTTCTGATACAACACATTGGGACAAGGTCCTTAGAACTGAAATTGATTAAATTAAGAAAAATAATACATGGATTTTAGTATATTTGCTTAAAGGAGCAAAACGTATTGATTGTAAGTGGATATTTAAGAAAAAATATCATCTCGATGATCCATAGATAAATATAAGACAAGATTAGTAGTAAATGATTTTATTCAAAAACTCAATATTGATTATTTTGATACCTTTGCTCCTGTGACTAAGAGCTCCTCAGTTTTGTTAGTTCTATCAGTTATCCATAAGCTAGTTATAAGTCAAATGAATATTAAGACAACTTTTTTGAATAATAGGGATGGTAAAACGAGTCAGTCCGCCCAGCTTTTGTCCCGCCAAAAGCGGGACAGGGCGGGCTAGTTCATTATAGTTATGGCAGGTTACGGGTCTCGGCCGTCCGCCAAAGTGCGGGCTAACCCAGTCATATTTTTTATTTTATTTTATTTTATTATTTTTAAATCAAATTTTTCAATAAATTTAATAATAAAATATCATTGTCAACTATATATATATATCTATATATATATATATATATATATATATATATATAAAGTTAATAATATAAATTGATATATTATTTTAATAAATTATATTTTAGAACAATTAAAATAAGATAAAATTTATATAATAATAAATACATGTATGTAACAGTAGAAATTTATTAAATCATTATTTTTTATATTGAAAAGTTTAATCATTTAAATAAAAATTACATTATATTTATTTATTTGATAAAACTTCACATTGTTCTCCTATTGAGCAATTCTCACATCTTCAATTCAAAAGAATCAATATCCAAGATCATTAGATGTAGTATTTGAAGATCTTTCCAGTTTTTCATCTTTGTATCAGGATTCAAATAATTTATCCAAGTGCTAAGCTTTGGACACTCAACAAATTTAAAAGGTAAATCATGTCGAATAATTAAATTAGCACACAACTCACGGGACACCATCTGATCTTTTTTTTTTTACTTCAACTTCCCTTGCATGTCTAAAATCATTTGACTCACATC